ACAGTGATATTAGCCTGATAAAATGGTAATGATAATGGCAATGATGATGATAATGATAATAATAATAATGCTGATAAAGATAATTAACGATAACCATAATGTTAATGATAACGATAATGATGATAATAACAATAAAAATATTTACCTGGATTTTTGAAAACCGGGTTGGCAAAAATATCAACTCATTCTACTACTTGGCAATTTAAAACAATAAAACTCATACAAAGGCCGATTAAAAGCCTTTATCTGACGACGGGCAGTAAAGTTAATGATCCCTAGAGGCATTCCAACGAGTCCAAATTCAAAATGACTCAAATTTTATAACAGTTATTCAGATCTGACTTCGCGAAGTTTCAAACCGGTGTCATTTCAGTCTAGACATTTTTACGTTGAGTGAACTGCAGCGAAAGAATGCCTGGTTAGGGCTTACATAACAACTTAAAAATAGTTAACAAAACACTAATTTATTCGCATTCCGATAAACAACAGGATCTCGCATGGAATAGACAACAAACTGAATGAAAAATAGTGCACAAATTATCACTTTCTTATCTGCAAAAATCGGCCTATGGTTCAATGTCATTAGAGCCCGCTGAAACTAGACCTAAATCCAATTTTCCTGAGTCGAGAGTTGCTTTTCCAAGGTAAACACCGACGAAACAATATTCATGGGTGGCACAGAATATCTTGGCGAAACCGCAGTTCAACCACGCGATCATATACCCGTCAACACCATGCGGAAATCACACAATCACACACTTTCGCGGCACTGATACGACTATCCACAACCACGCATAATCTTCTCACGTTTAACATAAGCTAAATATCATGAAAATCTCAGCCTATTGGCAGATAAACACCTCTGGACTTTTCTCTTACACTCGTCTTATGTATGGATGTAGAGGTCACACGGTTGATTTTCACACCAGAAAAGTCTTGGCCCGGGTCAAACGTCACCCTTTTTCCTCACCTAATTCTTCATCCACTTCTACACAAATCCTTAACCATAAAACAACCAAAAAAATAAAAAACGGCATAAGCAAACAACACGGTGAACAAGTTATTAGACAGGGGAAGTTGAGAAAAATTACAAAATGTTTGCTAACCCGGTTTTTATAACTCCAGGTAGTATTATAATGATGATAATAATATTAATAATGATGATAATAATAATCGATGAATGGTGGACGGTCACACCAGTGTACGTGTTCTTGATATCTTTTAAATTCTCCAGTTGATCATATCTATAATAATGCTGTTCATATCTATGATAATGGACTTTCAATTTCCAGCAACCCCGTTTTTCTCAACTTTTTCCCCATATATACAAACTCTGTATTTTTTCCTTCCCCCGTAAGCGGCCAGCTCCAGTTACGGCGCGGACACCTTATTCGCGGCCCAAAGGTATCCTCACACCAGAGCTTGCGCTGTATTTTTTTATTGGTATCGCCAAGGAATATATTTTAGGGGTGCATTCAACTTCGATTTCAGCTGTTAAGAAAAAAAATGGGGGAGGCACATTCTTGTCACTTTGATCATGAACAGCTTTCTCTCCTCAAGAAATAAAGAGAAATTATTCATTCGCTGATCTCGCTCTCCATGAACTTGCCCGTGATACGCAGGTGTAAAAGCGATATTTATTACAATCTTATTTATGAAAAAACTTCATTTGGGTCAATGTAATAATGCAAATTTGTCCGCATCAAAAGCTACACAAGCATCATCAACTAATAACTGATTCCTTACTTAACTCTTGACATGAATCTTAATAGGTGTCAGTTGCCTGCGCAATGAAATGTTAAAATTCTGTCAGTCAGCGTTGTAATTAGATCGAAAATGTTCTGTTTTGGTTTTTATGTTTAAATTTTAAAGCCTTGTGAAATAACATTTTTTACATTTGAAGCGAATAGCAATCTCTACTGAGGTAAGTAGCCATCTTAAAGCTTCAATTCAGGCGAAATTCGCTAGTAACATTTTAGTAACTTGTTTTGAAAAGAGACTAATGTAATATAGTATAAAAGGGCATTAGAAATCTAGATACAGAATTTCCAAACTGAAAATAAATGCTTAGGTTAAGCAGTGATTTAAAAGTTTATGCACCAAATTGTGTTTAATCGTACATTTTATTTCCGTTCAAGTTAGCCGTTTAATGAAAACGCCCAAGAAAGAAATACAAATTATGCCACTGTGTGTCCAAACTCAGGCTTTTCTTTTCATAAATCCAAAATCCGGAGGAATTACGAACCTCGACTTCATTAATTCATCCACATACAGATATTGAAAAACATATCGATCGCTTTTAAATAGATATGATTTGGGTCGCAACCAAGAACGTTATGTGGAGAAAAGTAAATAACATACCTGCCCAATCCACTTAAGAAAATATATTATTTGCACTAAAAATTGCATCTACCATTTATCTCAGAGATCAAATCTGGAATCTCTGGCCTTGACTTTTACGAGGTTAAAGAAGATCGAAAGATTAAACTTTGCTCCGTAATTAAAATGTTTTTATAATTTCTGTAAGCCTGCAACTAGAAACCCGACATTGGCTGATGCTCTTATAATTCCATATTTTAGGTATTTCCAAGCCCAAATGTTGATTTCAATACTAACCTGGGAAACTACGGACGACGATACAACACTTCACATGGTAAATGGAACTGTCAGAAAAACGTTTTATGGCAAAGTATGTTATCGCGCATCGAACATGTTGCCGAAGGTGTCAGCTTAATGGGTTGAATATTGAGAACACATATATTCATGAGAGAATCGAAGACAATTAATTCGCCGAAGCTCTTTTCTGGCTAATTATTTATTCGATTTTGCTGTGAAAATCGATTAAGAAAATAGCCCGTTAACCTACAGCAATCAGTCACGTCTTCCACAAGGTTCAGTTTGGTCTTGCAATAAGTAGTCGGGGAAGAAGACTCAGATTTCGCATAAATCTAAAAGCCAAAATACAAAACCCCTAATTTAACGACTTTTTCATTGTGTTAAGGTATATCTATTCGACACTAACGATTCGACACTTACGCCGAATTTCGCTAACTAATCGTCGTTTTTGGATGTGACAACAGAAAACTTTGCTTTTGCATTAAATTTGACGTGTCGCAGTTTCCATGTAAATCTCTCAGTGGTTTGCAACAGGCTTTGTTACTTGTAAGTTAAAACATCAACAGAAATACAGTTTATTCGGCGCTAAGGTAGAGAATGCACGAGTACACTGAATAAGATCTCAGATATTTACGAGTTATCTGCGAAATGTTCGCGCGTTTTCTCTGGTAAAAAAAGAAAACAATTTAAAGATTTATATAATTGGACTGATTTTCCCTCACAGCTCAAACTACTGCGTAAAAAGTAACAATTTTTGGCGCGTTCTGTCCAGGTAAAATGACGCTACATTTAAGCTGAATAATTAGAGAGGTTAATTATCAAGTTTAAGACAGACCGCTGAGAGATGAACAAACGATTACAATGTATCAAAAAGCAATAAATCAAAATATAATGTTTCTTCCTCAAGTCTTCAATTTAAACTTTTAATACAACAATGAACTTTAAAACAATCATCTTTAAGCTGAAAACGGCATACGGCAACTTGCGAGTCTCACAGAAAGCCTTGTTATCAAAGATGACATTATTCTTAACTATTAAACTGGATACAGTAACTTTAAGCAATTTTTTTGATAAAACATCCTTTTTTGCCTTTCTCGCAAGAAAGATAATGTGATGATGAGTAAGACCTGGTCAGGGACGCCGAAATTTTCATTAGCCGAACTTTATTCATAGAAAGGTCGGCGTCTGAATCAATTAGGAACGCCTCTTTCAATTTGGAACGGCTCAGCCGTTCTTCCCGCCTAGTCCGACCGGAAATTTCGCCTTTGAAGCGACTTTGAAACGGCGTCGATTCAGACGACGAACATAAATTATTATAACGTATTTTGCAAACAGTTTGACCAAAATGAGCAGCATTTTCATTCTTTTGAATTTACTTTGGCTGGAGTTGAGATCGGCGTCTGAATCAGTTTAGCCGGTCTACATAATGAGTCGGCTCATGAAAAGATCATCATATGAACCAGGCGTCAGTCGCTGTGTAGCCCCAAATTCGCATGATTTGAGTTGTGCAGTAAGTTCAGAATTAAAGGTTACAGGTTTGATGTTGAAATTTCGGCTTAAGGAGCGCTTAGCCCAATGTAGAAATAGCGCCCGGGAAATTTGCCCTTCTTATTAAAAACTCGCATTGCATATACGCGCTGATTCAACTACAAAGTAAAGGTGTGATATTAATACTTAATAGAATGAACAATACATACGGAACAAGTCAATGCCTTGATAAAATGCTAGCATCAACCGTAACGATGATGTATTGAGCCTCCTTGTACTGTTTCGTGCAGCCACAATTCAAAACCAATAATCGGATGGCACTTTATCGTGACGTTGAAATAGAAAATAAAGATGTTTCCACGTCTGTACCCGGACCTTTTGGCCTCACTGGATGTTACCATAGGGAAGAATCTGTACGTATTTTTTAAGTCGTGCATGTACTCCAGATTTTCCCAATAATTGCCGTAGAAGTTTAGCGTGCTTTAGCTTATTATGCCTGGGATCACGATCCGCATTGTAGAAAAAAGGAGAAAAAATCGGCGTTGGCCAAAAAAAAAAATCGGCGAACGAAGAGTCTGGGGAGGGGATGGGTGGAGGAAACTGGAGACAAGCCTTTGATACCTCGAATCAGCCCTCTAGCAATTAACTTGTCATTGAAATGTCAACACGTCAAGTTCTCATCACGGATGTCAGCGTTAACTTGTTATGTCACTTTTGTAAAAAAATATGTGAATTCGAGATGAAGTAATGGTGCTAGCAAAGCGATATACTTAACTTCGACCATCAACTGGAGCAACACCAGCTTGGGCGAAGAGAAATAAAGACGTTTCAGAGGAAAATGGGCCGCGTGCGACCGGGGACGAATAGATTCTCAAGGAGATACCTCAACAAGTTCGCAGTTCGCGTCATAATGCTCGTTGACATAGCTTCTTATGATGTAATATTCCTGTGGAGAAAAAATCTGTAAAGTTTATCACCTTATGCAACATACTAGCTATTCAGTTTGAGTGTCAGTATTCCTGTTTAATTTGTTGTCCTTTTTATAAGGTATGTCTGCTGAAAATTGCGCAAAAATTAGGAATAATCATTTTGTCTTTGTACTAGCCTGCGAGCAGAGGTTCCTCTCTTGCATGCATGGCTTTTGGTTTTTACGAAGTCGTTCGCGTCACTTGTTAGTTGCTTATTTGGTTTGTTAACTACACGACTGAAAAGCGAGGCAGACTTTGTAAACGCTAAAACTAGTAAAAGCCAAGCAAGAGAGAAAAAACTGCTCAAGGAGTATCTCCGTACAGTTTTGGTTTACGTGTTCTCGGAGCACAAGGCTTAGCTGTACGCAAAATGCATTCTTTGCATATATCAACTGATTTGGGGGGGCTTATCACGCTTTTGGTAGGAGGGTGATTATTTCTTTCAAGTATTTTTTGTACGCAAAATGCATTCTTTGCGTAGATAAACTGATTTTTTGCTTTTATCACTCTTTTGGTAGAATGGTGATTCATTCATTTCACTCATTCATTCATTTATTTTTGTCATTAACCAGAAATAGAACACCAGTATGCAGAAATGTATGATACATTAAAGATAATATACAATATTCTAACTAAATTATTTACAAGATGAAATGTTTAAAGTGGTAATGGCAAGAAAGCCTATCTTACATTGAAGCCGGGGGGCTTATAAACTATAGGTTTAATTTCCTACTATAGGGTAAACCATACAAGTTAAGGGTACTGAATAAAAATTTTGATTAATTATAAAAAACGAAAGAAAAGAAAAAAAAGGAAAGAGAAAAAAGAAATAGAAAAGATGTGTAGCTCAACACAGAGTAAATTTAACTAAGAAGAAGAAGAAGAAGATTTTTTAAGTCTTTTGCCAAAAAAACTGATACTTTCACTGTTTTGAATTTCCCGACTTAGCAAGTTGAACACTGAGGACCATGTAACCGAATTGAGAATTTTCGAAAATTAGTTCAACATTGATGTATATAGAATAGGCTGAATTTTTTTTGTGTATTATAAGAATGTATCTGGCTTGCGAGGGTAAACATATCACGAAAATAATTAGAAGGGAGAAAGCCTCTTTTAAAAAGGTACATAAATTTACCTATTTGGTATAAATAAAAGTCTGAGAATTAAAAACAACACCTGTATGAGAATCAAAAGAAACTTTAGATAATAATCTGAGTATCGTCTTTTGCAGAATAATAACACGATTTAAATTAGACTGATATATCGATCCCCACACTGGAACACAATATGATAGATAGATAGATAGTTTAGATAGATAGATAGTTTATTAAAATATCGAACATGGCAGTCGGCAGACTGAATTGCGTTACAAATACTTAAAACTAAGATTAAATAAATTCCAAAATTATAAATACTAATTGAAATTATAACAAATAGATATAGATATATCGATCAAGTATTAGCCTCCTTTGGTGTGATTACAACACTGTACCTTTTGAACGTCGGTTTATAAGTCAATCGTTTGGTAAATGTGACAGCACTTTGTTGCAGGGGACTGTATAATAAGAAAAGCTCCATATTTTGAATGCTTCTTTTTCTTTTATCATATTTTTTGCTCTTCTTGGAGCCGAGGGATAAGCGAAAAGTCTCGCAAAGAAATTTGTATTGCATGCTCCAAATCCGTGTTTTAAAAAATCTTTTCCCGAATTGTATGAGCGTGATATTGAAAGAGCAAGATACTGTCAACAGCACCGCGAATCTGCCAATATGAAGACATGTTGACACTTAATCATCAGGACTTTGAAACAAAAAATAAAAAGGTTTTCACGTCTGTAACCGGACCTTTTTGCCTCACTGGATGTTACACCATAGGGAAGAATCTATACCTATTTTTTTAAGTCGTGCAGTACAGTTTTGGTTTACGTGTTCTCGGAGCACACGGCTTAGCTGTACGCAAAATGCATTCTTTGCATAGATCAACTGATTTTGGGGGTTTATCACTCTTTTGGTAGGAGGGTGATTCATTCATTTCACTCATTCATTCACTTATTTTTGCCATTAACCAGAAATAGAACAACAGTATGCAGAAATTTATAATACATTAAAGATAATATACACTATTCTAACTAAATTATTTACAAGATGAAATGTTTAAAGTGGTAGTGGCAAGGAAGCCTATATAGCCGTGAAGCTAGGCTTCCTGCAACTATAGGGTAAACTATGTTAGTTAAGGGGACTGAATGAAAATTTGGATTAATATATTAATAAAAAAAAGAAAGAAAAGGAAAGAAAAAAGGAAAGACAAAAAGAAATACAAAAAGGTGTATAGCTCAACAAAGAGTAAATTTAACTAGGAAAAAAGAGATTTTTTTAAGTCTTTTGCCGAACAAACTGATATTTTCACTGTTTTGAATTTCCCGACTTAGCGAGTTCAAAAACTTAGGATCGATCTTGAAACCGAATTGAGAATTTTCGAAAATTAGTTCAACAATGAGGTATATAGAATAGGCTGGAACTTTTTTTGTATTATAAGAATGTATCTGGCTTGCAAGAGTAAACATATCACGAAATAATTAGGAAGTAAGCCTTTATTAGAAAGGTACATAAATTTACCTATTTGGTATGTTCGAGAATTTTACAATCTCCTGCTCTTTAAAAAGAACACCTGTATGAGAATCAAAAGATTTTTTAGATATTACGCTGATTATCTTCTTTTGCAGAATAATAATCCAATTTAAATTAGACTGATATGTCGATCCCCACACTGAAACACAATATATTAAGTAAGGGTAAACTAGACTATAGTACAAGGAGCGCAAGGAAGGTTTGGGAACGAAAAAACTAGACTTATAAATAATAACTATTGATTTTGATATTTTTCTAGAAACGCGTAGAATGTGAGGCCTCCATGACAAATGCTCATCGAGAATAACACCTAAAAATACTGTTTCTTTCACATGTGAAATAACATTGTTGCCAATTTGAATAGATATATCGATCACGTATTTGCCTCCTTTGGCGTGGTTACAATACTGTACCTTTTGAACGTCCGTTTATAAGTCAATCGTTTGGTAAATGTGACCGCACTTTGTCACAGGGGAGTGTAAGAAAAGCTCCATATTTTGAATGCTTCTTTTTCGTTTATCACACGCATATTTTTGCTCTTCTTGGAGCCGTGGGATAAGCGAAAAGTCTAGCAAAGAAATTTGTATTGCGTGCTCGAAATCCGTGTTTTAAAAAATCTTTTCCCGAATTGTATGAGCGTTATATTGAAAGAGCACGATACTGTCAACAGCACCGCGAATCTGTCAACATGATGACATTTGACCAATCAGAGCATGATACCGAAATCTGGTATCATGGAACGGCGGCGATAAAATGGATTTGCTCAAATTTGCACTTGGAAAATATGTCGCAAAAATGTGCAGACTGAGAAGTAAATGTTGAGCAAGGATGGTAAATGCCAGTCATTTGTCTCCTTATTTGCATTTAAACTGGCCTGCTATAGTTTAGCCCGTGGGGCTGTATTTTGTATACCCAGAATAATAGCCTTATAATTACCGAATAGTCTGTTCGTTGACTTAGAATTTGTGACCAGCAAAGGGATTATAAAACTTGCAGCTCTTTCTAAAAAACTGATGTTGATAACGATAATGATGATGATGATGATGACTTAACATTAGAAAGTGGGGTCCGTGTTTTCTTAAATGAGTTTGAAATAAACAAGGTAATTAAGATTATTTTGGCTTCTCTAGCAGGATCTTTTGGCCTCGCTGCATGTTACCATCAGAGAAAGAATCTGTTCTTATTCTTTAAGAAACGTACTCCAGAAATCAAAATATAAATCAAAATCTAAATGGATTCAATACAAGCTAGCTAACAAACCAGTCCACTTTGTTTTGTTAACTGACAGGTTTATCATATATTATCTTTTAAACTTTTGAGGCTTCGATAATACAGCACTCCGGCTTTCCAGGCCCGTTAATAGTTGGGAGTTTCGCGAAACGGGTCCATGGACCGGGTTTAATGTATCTTTTCCCTCCATTCTGATTACTAATGAAACGATCAATTACTAGTCTCAGGATCTAGTGTTACTATTATTTGTTCCCCTTTTCTTTGGAACATCATTTGGATTACATTTTTTGTCTTCTGAAAACTACACACGTTGTTTTATTTAATGTATGAGTTTTTCTTGTTTTCGGTAGCTATTCATTGGTCTTCTGCCGCGTCGACTATCTTCTACTTCATATAAAGCTGTATCAGTGAAATAGAACTTCAATCTGTTATTCATCTACTCCATTGAGTGATATCAGTCATTGTTACTTTGGTTTTGGCCGCTTAAGTACATTTTCTCCTGACTTTCTGGTGCTCTTAACTTTCACTATGCCGCCGGCGAATTTCACATGCATTTGAGGGTAAATTTACCATGGGGCAAATAAAGTTTATGAAAAACTCTTAGCAAATTATCGCTTACCTTTTTATGTCATCTGCTCTTTTCTTAAACAGTTAGGAGAGATTATTAATTATCAAACAAACTATACTTCCGCTGGTAAATAATTTTCTTTGCATTTTTTGCGAGTTAAACCATTACTTGCATTAAATTGAGTGTTTTAGCCCTACTCTCTACCGGTGTTGCCATGATACTATAAAACTCAAGACAAACACTTAACACAACAAACATCAAAACAGAAATAAGCTTTTTACATATATTAACTCCTGTGGAGGAAGTGGCTGTTGAAAAATTGTAATAAGTATCTATGAATGAATGAGAAAAGACTATGATGTTTATCTATTTGATTTACTTACTTTTTACTTGTGTTGGCCAGCATCATACATAGTACAGAACACTGAAGAACGTAGGTTCACACGGGTCCGTTTTTTATTAGTTCGTAACTCATACAGGCTTTATGGTTGTCGTCCATGCGAAAATGATAAACAGTAATTAAGAAATTGTTTCGTAAACAATCAATATAGCTGAATATCGCATCCATGTGAGTAGCTGTGAACGCGCAAGCGTCAGTCTTCAGTCCGATAATTTGATACAATGTATAAAATTGTCGGACTCAAGACTGCAGCTACATGCAAGCTAATCTTGGCTAGGTCAGCGATGAGTTGCCCAATGCCGCGGTTTGGATTTTTTTCCCGAGAAACTGTTTTTTATTGTTACGTCGTCTTTTCTTAACTGTCGTTACAAGTTTTCGGACCAAATAAGTTCAAACCGTGTAAACTAAGGCAATAATGTTTCTTTTACTAGGATGAAACTGTCAAGTCTTGAATTTATTTCTACTTGTACTGTGTACAATATATATTGTAATATTCAGAGTTATATAATATTAATTTTCGCATAGTTTTTAATTATGGCGACCCGCCTCGACCAGCTGCGCTCCTACTGCGAGTTTAAAAAGCAAAATTTTTGTGTGATTCGTTGTCAGTTTTCATAAGAGGAAAACCCATTGTAATCTTTCAAAGTTAAAACTGATTTTAAATTACTAATATTTGTTAATAAATAAATCGGTCTTATTCATTTTCATGGGTATTTACAGAGCGAAGGTTGAGCTCTACTCTCAAACAAGAGCTAAACAATGGTAAGTATTACGCGCACGTACTTTCACAACTGTACCAAAATTGATAACCATTTTGTTGTTTATCCACCTACGTACCACAAAAATGCCCCTTAAATAACTTTGCTTTTGTTGTACTCTCTAATGTAGACTCGCTATGCCTCGATCGGTACAATTGAAATTTAAAATGGGGGTCACCCTACTCGTTTTGAAATGGCAAGTGTACGTGCAAAAAGCTGAGAGAAAGCATTGAAAGAATACTATTGCCCGTACCGCTTACGTCACGGAAATAATTAACCATCGGACGTTCACGCAAATTCATACACCCACCGTGGTACAAGGTGGGGGGGGGGGGTGAATGGAACCCCTCCCCGGAGTTTTTGATACGTTGCAGTATTTCGAAACGTTTTTGCCTTTAGTAAAAAGCCTTTGATCTTCTTAACAAGACGAGGTATATTTTATGGGTGGTGACTCTGCTGGAGGCCTGTGACGTCACCAACAGGGTCGCCATCTTGCCTGCCATCTTGGATTTTACCAAGAATTAGTGCTTTACATGAAAAACAGCTCTTAAATAAGCAATTTGCATGATTTTAGCCTTCAGATTTGTTCTTATTGTGGAAAGATGTTGAAAAATATGTACTTTCACCAAAAAATGGCTTGACCACCCGCTTCTTGTGACATCATATCTCGTGAGCATAGCAACTGACAGGAGCCCATCAAATGGAGCCTCCATCTCCATTAATTTCTTGAGTCAACCCTTTCCCGAGTAGATTTATAAATAGAACGGCTTGTTTCCCGCGAAAAGTGTCATATTTCCGTGAGTCTTGTATGTCACCGTGAAAAAAATCAAGTTGGATGAAGTCGAACTCAGAAACCCGTCCTTCGACCGTTTTCCTTTTTTACTATACGTCCATTTTTATCGTTTTACAGCCGCTGAGATCTGGGATGAAATAAAAGTTAATGAATTACTCAACTGAGACTGAGCATGAAGCGATGGGACAAAGGCAGCGAACTGAGGATCACGGAAAGGTTCTTTGCGAGTGTTTGTTTTTGTTTTTTTGCCGTCATACATCCCACATTTAAGCATGCACCTTGAAAAGAGTCGACGATTAAGCGTTCTGTGGACGATTTGAAACTTCTCGATGATCAGCGCCGAAAAAGTGCCAGGATCATTTATTTTTGTCATGGCCGTGGAGTGGATATCGCCAGTTAAGCACCGTGTGCAAAAGCGACGACCTAAGTAGCAACTAAGGAGGAATGCTTCAGAAAAATTGCAGTCTTCCTTTACAACTGACTTGTATCACCATGAGAGTTACCTGATAAAAGTGGCACTTGAAAAGTTGAACTGAAGACAACAGTTGCTCGACCGTGAAGCTAACTCAAAAGTAATTTGCTAACGGTGGAATTTATGACATCGCGCTCCAGTCCAAAGACCCTCTTATCTCGAGAAAAACAAAATGGATTGTATCTGCGCCCAAAGAATTATGACTGACCAACAGGAGAATTCTCAGCAATTAATGTAGAAGTTTAGGCCAATTCTTTCCTTCGAATTCGCATCTGTAGATCACTTTTTTGCGAGAAAACAATGGCTGGGCTCGGCGTTACAAAACATAGCAAGGAATCATCACACTAACTGACGGAGAAAACAACCACAGTATTTATTCAGACAAACGCATTTCGGATAAAAACTTGAAAAACTAGAAATTTGATTAATATTAAGTCATTTAGCTGAAATAAGAACCTTAACGCTGAAAAAAATTGGCTAAAGAAAACGAATCCTGTCAGAACTACAGACTGCAGGTAGTAGTTAATCCTTACGCATGTAACAGACCAGCTAAATGTGAGACAAGCAACCAAAATTAAGATTAACATAGTCAGAGTTTAAAACTCTCCACAGTATAATCTACCCGCTAGAAAGAAAAGAAAGAAAATCTCTGAGGGATGAAAACGCTAAAGTCACGTTTCACTATAGCTTATGATTTTGTTTGGCCTGTCAGCACCGGATTTCCTGCTGTTTCATGAAGTACAATAGCAGTGTCATTTAGTCGTTGTGATTGGCTCTTCCCACCGTCGGCGCGCGAAGTCTCCCCTGGGAACCGTTCTAATTATAAATCTACTCGGGAAAGGGTTGACTCCAAGGGCTTGTATGGGAGATGGAGGCTCCATTTGATAGGCTCCTGCAACTGACCATCAATGAACTTATCTCAAAATGTGTGTGAGGGATGAACAAACAGCTACTAAAAACGTCAGGTGCTGATGTTTTATCCTCTAGGAAAAAACTAAGAAAAACCTTAGGGGGACTGGCATCCACCCCCTCTTGTACGTCCGACGGTATCCAGAGACGCATCTCTGCCAGACTTAAGGCCTAAATAATGCACTAATCTTTTTCTTCGATCTTTTTCTTCAAGCTACACAAATGCCTTCAAAAGTTTTATTTGTCAGCAAGAAAACACGACGGCCGTTAGGTCCTTGCGCGCCAAAATAGTAATCATTGGCAGGAGTAAATGAGTTAAAAATCTCCATTTTAGTGCTAAATTATCTCATGATAAGTATAGTATTAGTATTAGTATGTGCTCAATTATCTCACGATTAGAATAGTATGCTTCGCGGCTCGGCAAATTTTTTTCACCACTAGCCACCGACACTGAGGTGAATAAATGTTATTGCTTCAGTCAGTGATACAGACCTAACTCAGAGAACGGAGTTCGTTTTATAGCCGTTTTAGAACCTCAACCTTGATCAGTTGAGCCTCTGGACTTGAATAACGTAAAGGTCATAGCTTTGACTTCCGTGTTCAATGTAAGGCTGGGAATCCAGATTTCGGAATCCGAGAAATTTTGCTTGTGGAATCCGAAATCCGGAAATTGAGAAGTGGAAAATCAGGGATCCTGTGCATAGAAATCCGGAATCCCACTTACGATTGAAATCCAAGTTCCACTGACCAAGAATCTGGAATACAGTACCTGGAATCCGAAATTCAAAGCGTGGAATCCAGAATCCAAGACTATCTTGGATTCCCTTAAGTGGGTTGAAACCCCGGGGGGGGGGGGGGGTAATTTTTTTTTCCCTGTCGCTTTTGTCAAGGACTGAAAAAAAAAAACATTATAGTTCAAGATGTAGAGAACTTACATGTAGATCAAAACAGGAAAAAGAATGACACTTGTTTTTCACCATTGAGTTTATTGTTTAGCTATCTATTTAAGGATATAAAAGCAATCCAGTTTTCTAAAGTTTTCTAAAGTGTGGTTTTTGGTCTTCTATTTGTCAGCGTCCCTCTATTTCTGTCCGCCTAAACAACTGCAAAAAGAAAAGTAGAATTATTTCAAAATATTTGAATGCTATACTATAATAGTTGTTACAAGAAGGTTAACCATGTAAATACATGTAGATCGTATAAGCAGGTCTCGGAGATTACAGTTTACTAACGCGTAACAGTAATATGAAACTCACTTATACGCCGATGTCTCTTTTAAATCTGCTCAGTATGTGCTTTCCATTAGAACTACTCATCAAAAAGACTCCAAGGGATTTATAAACAGCCACCCTATCTATGGGTATGTTTACTTATTAACCTTAACCGAGAAATTATCTGATATTAGTTGAAGTTTGGGGCGACTCCCTATCGGCATGTATTGGTTTCAATTTGTATTTGGTCTTTGGGTCAGCTTATCCACCTTTAGCCATTTCTGGATTTTTTTAGAGCAGAATTCATTTCAACTCGTGATTATAAGGTGCCAGTATCTTCGGCAGCGGACGGTAAGGATATATTTCGCATACTTTGTATGGGCCTTGAGTAGAGCTGACGTAAGGTAAGATCATTTACATATAAAATAAACAACAGCGGACTCAAGAATCGACCCTAGAGGGATTGCACACGTTGATGTAGATGTACGTAATAGTAAGGCGGAAAGGAGAGTCAGAACGGCAAAAAAATTTAGTGAGACAAACGTGACGGGTTGTTTGCTTACGTTTTTTTGCGATATCGTCCTGGTCTTCTTCAAAAATACAGATTTCTTTAAAGGAAGGTGAATTTAATTATTGTCGCACTTATTACGCTTATCCAGTCCACTGCAAAAAGACACTTTCCTCAAGACTAATCCACCAAGGATGAGTTAAGACTCTTCTTTAAACATATGCCTCACTCTTTGTCATCAGTGCCTTATCATTACTTTTAAACAAAGATTACAGTGAACCGGTGTGTGGACTGTATGATAATTTGTGTCGTGATCACTGACAGCAAGGGTCAGGACATGCACGCAAGCTAAAGAACCACACACTTGTAATGGATTTGTGTTGCTTTTTGTGGTTCAGTTTTTTTCCATTCCTGGTTGCATTTTTCCTTGCAACTCACGAGAGATATTTCTGGT